GTTTTCAATTTTCAGTTTTAAAAATTGAAACACCTCTCATCTCTGCCAGGACACTATCTCTAAAAGCTAACAACAACAAAAATCCACTCCAAAACTAATCATTTCTTTCCTCCTTTTTGACACTGGGGAACTGCCCTTAGCACTTCAATGGTGGAAATATTCTGAAACTGCTACCTTTCTAAAAAGAGGAAGAACAGTTGAGGTAGCTAGCTGGGGCAGTGGATAGAGCTCTGTGCTTGGACTCAGGAAGACCTGGGTTCAAATGTGGTCTCGGACACTCACTAGCTGTGTTACTTAACCTCTGTCTGCCTCAGTTTTCTCAACTGTAAAATGGGTATAATAACAGCATCTACTGAAGGGTTGTTGTGAGGCTCAAAACAGATATTTGTAAAGAGCTTCAAGCACTGTCTGGCACAGAGTAAGCACTGTATAAATGCTTATTCCCTTCCCCTAGCACAATGCCCGGTGCTTGGTAGGATTTTAATAAATACCAGCTTCTGCCTGAAGTCTTCCCTGGTTTTCCTTCCTCCCACTCCAACTGGCAGTGCCCTCCCTCTCAAACTACCTTATATTTAATTATTTTATGTTTATTGGTATATATTCTTTTTATATTTATTTTGCCCATGCTTGCATATGTACTTTTTGTCTCCCCTGTTAGAATGTACTCATATTCCTTTTGAATAGGGTTTCTGTTCATCATACTTTTACCCCCACTGCCTGGAATGTAGTAGGTGCTTAATAAATACTTGTTGCTTGACTGAATAAAGACTTGTTGACCGACTGACTGATGTATCTACAACCTTTGACCCTGCTGATCACTTTCTCCTCCCTGACTGATGGATGAAGCATGCTGCCCACCCTCCTGACAGGGAAGGGGATAGACCCCAGGTGCAGAAGAAGACACACTTTTTGGGCACAGCTAATATGAGAATTCATTCTGCTTTCACAACCTTCTACCTCCTAACTCCCCCCTGCCCTTCACTCACCCAAATGAAAAGACATGTGTTACAAGTGTCTGTTTTGTTCTGTTTTTCATTTGGGTGAGAGAAGGTAGGGGTCAAGGGGACAGAGGGCTGTGAAAATTTACTAAAAGAGAAAAATGAAAGAGTTTCTTTGGTGGGGGGAGGAAAAAAAAAGAAAAAAATAATTTACATAACGTTATATATTTAAAAGGAATAGCAAGTTGTATATAATAGATTTGCAGTTCCATGTGTAATCATCTTTTTTACTATGTTATGGAAATGCTTGTTTTATCCCATAAATTAAAAATAAAATAAATTTTAAAAAATGTACAGAAAAAAAAAGGAACACCAGAAGGAAATACTATAGAAGTTATTTCATCATCGATCACCCTCTCTCTCTCGAATTCTTAGCCTTTCCTTATCAATTATTTCCCTTCTCCCTTCAAATATGCCCAAGTCTCCCCCTCCTTAAAAAACCTTCACTAGATCCTAGAATTCCTTCAAGAGAGATCCCGTATCTCTCCTCCCTTTCTCAGTCAAATTCCTTGAAAAAGTTGTTTACACTCCCTGTCTCCACTTCTCTCACCCTTTGGAATCTGGCATTTGACCTCATCTCTTGGTGGAAACCTTTTTATGTCATCCTAATGGCCAAATCTGATGTGTCTTTCACAGGATGCTTCTTGATCTAGTACATCTGGTACTGGGGACCCTGCTCTCCTCCCAGATCTTTTCTCCTCTATGAAATTTTACTCTCTCTTGGTTCTACCTGTGGGTGTATACTACAGTTCTCTGCTAGGCCCTCTTGTCTCTCTATTGTTTCTCTCAGTAACCTCATTGATTCCCATGGGGTTAATCATTATTTCTATGCAAGTATTTCACAGACCTATATATCTAGATCCAGTATCTTCAACGAGCTTAAGTCCCATACCACCAATTTTCTAGTGGACATTTCAATTTGTTATGCCCAGAGAAATTTTTAATTGAACATAACTAAAACAAAACTCATTATCTGTCTACCTAGGGCTTAAGCCCGCCCTGTCTCCCAAACTTTCCTATTTCTGTTGAAAGCACCACCATCTTTCCAGTGTCTCCAGTTCATCATCTCAGCATTATCCTGGATTCTTCACTCTTCCTCACCTCAGGCATCCGATTGTCAAATCTCGCCATTTCTACCTTCACGAAATCTCCCACACTTGATCCCTTCTTCCCACCCACTTAGGTACCACATTTGTTTAGGCCTCATCATCTCCCACCCAGACTATTGCACCAGCCTCCTAATTGGTCTCTCTGCCTCAAGTATCTCAGCACTCTAGTCCATCCTACACATTGCTGACAAAGTAATTTTCTTTAAATGCAAATCAGACCTTGCCTCCCTTACTCAGCCACCTCCTGTGCCTTCCTATTGCCTCTGGGGTCAAACATAAACTCTGTTTGGCTTTTAAATTCATAAACCTATCTTTCCAGCTTCAATGGGCCGTAATCCCCATTCTTGTACTTTGAGATCTAGCCAAACTGACCTCTCTGTTCCTTATTCATGAAGCTCCACCCCCCATTCTGTACCTTTGCACTGAATATTCCCTGTGTCTGGATGTACTTCCTCCTTATCTCGTCTTAGAGAATCTCTCTCTTCTTTTAATATGCAGTTTTGGAACTACCTTCTGCCTGAAACCTTTCCTGCCAACCTCCCTTCCCTGGACAAGCCACGGCACCAACTGCTAATGCTCTCCCCCAACCTATCTACCTTGTATCTAAATACACTGTATATGTATATTATATATGTGGATGTATATACATATATTTACTTATCCACGTTTGTTATGTTTGTATTTTTAAACGTAATTGTTGTTCCCCCCATTAGAATGCAAACTCATTGCGAGTAGGGATTGTTTCAATCTCTTTTTTTTTTATTGTTTCCATCTTTGTATTTGTATCACTAGTGCCTAGCATAATGCCTGGTACATAGTAGGTGCTTAATAAATACTTTGTTGATTGATTGAAGTTATTATATACTCCAAAAGAAAAGCAAGCTGTACTTGAGAGTGATCTGTAGCTTCCTCTTTTCATCTGTTCTACTTTCTATATAGCAATGCTGTCCCTCATGCCTGTAATTCTTTCCCTTTTCCCTTGGGCCTTCTGGCTTCCTTCAAGTTCACCTTCTACAAGAAGCTTTTCCTGATCCTCCTCAATGCTATTACTTGCCCTCTGTTGATTAGTTCCTCTGTATGTATGTGCCTATGTGTGTATATGTATGTATGCATGCATTCATATGTACGTATACATATGCATGTGTGTATGTATATATGTGTATACACACATTCATCCATCTATCTATCTATCTATCTATCTATCTATCTATCTATCTATCTATCTATCTACCTATTTAGTACACAGTTGTCTGCTCCATTAGACTGTGACCTCCTTGAAAGCTAGGACAATTCTGCCTTCTTTTAAAAATTGTCAGTGCTTAGCACAGTATTTGGCATATCACAGGTGCTTCATCAAAGCTTATTTACTTGATTTTGTGTTAAGTTCAAAAATTAAAAAAAAAATGTAAATCCCTTCCCTTCTCCCTGGGTTTTCATGACACCCTCTCCCGGCTCCCTCTTCCTGCCTGTCTGGTTGCTCCTTCTCTAATCTCTTTTGCTGGATCTTCATCCTCAGGAAAAGTAGCCCAGTGTTAAGAGCATTGGCTCTGGAGCTGGAGGATGTGGGTTCAAATGTCAAACATTTAATACCTGAAATAACCTTAGGCAAATCATCTAACCAGTCCAGGCTTTAGCTTCCTCATCTGTAAAACTAAGCCGGGCATGGGATGGGGTAGGGAGGGGGAGTTATTGGACTAAATGGCCTCAGGGGGTTTCCAGCTCTAGCTCTATGATCCCATGTCCTACCTCCTAACTGTGGGCATCCAACGCAGTTCTATTCTGGGCCTTTCTTTTTCCTCTTACACTTTCTGGTTCTAAATCTATGATCTTATGACCCTTTCTTGGTGATCTCAAAAGCTCCCCTGGATTCAATTATGATCTCTACAGCAGATGACTCCCAGCTCTTTCCTGAACTCAATTCCCACATCACCAAACACATGAGATATCTCCAAGTGGATGGGACAGCCCATTGTGGCAACCAAATTAAAACAGGCATGTCCAAGAGAGAAATGATTATCTTTTCACCAAAACCTGCCCCCTCCCCTACTGTCACTATTCATGCTGAGGCTGCCATCATCATCCTTCTAAGACAATAAGGTTTATAACCTTGGAGTTACTCTGGAATCTTCACTTTTCCTTCCACCCCTTTAGCCACCCAACGGCCAAGTTTTACTGGAAGTATTGATTTTACCTCCTCACCTCAGCTGGACAACTGCAATCCCCTGCTAAGTGGTCTCCCAGTCTCAAAACTCTCCTCTCTCAGATCCATCCTTCACATACCTGATAAACTGATATTCCTAATGGAGCTGTCTGATCTGATCATGTCATTCCCCTGTTCAAGAGACTTCAGGGGCTCCTTATTGTTTCTAGAATTAAATAGAAACTCTTCTGGTTGGGACTGAAAGCCCTTTGCCATCTGGCTCCAACATTTTTTCCAAGCTGATTTCACATTATTCCTCCTCACGAGCAAGCCAAAATGGGCCACTTGCAATTCCTTACATACGACATTCCATCTGCTGTCTCCATGAGTTTGAACAAGTTGTTCCTTATGTCTCACCTCTACCTACTATAATCCCCTTCAAGTATATTCCCAAGGGCTGCCTTCTATCTGAGGCCTTTCCTGACATTCTCTTTCACCTCCCTCCATCCTGATTATTTTGAGTTTACCTTATGTTGATTTATCAGTGTGAGCTGACACCCTCACCCCCTACAGAATGTAAGCTCTCTGAAGGTAAGAATTATTTTGTTTTTTGCCTTTGTATTCCCAGTGCCCGGCATACAGCAGACACTAAAAAAGTGATTATGGAATGAATGACAACAATGGGAGAGAATCAAATTGACACGGGTCAAAATAGATTCAGATTAAACATTACGTCACATTACAGACACATACCGCCTTTTAAATCAGCTGAAGCCCCCACGTACTGAAAGTTATCCATATTAATGACATCAATGATAGGTGACACAACCCGGGTCTTGTCCTAAAATAAATATTGGATATGGGGGGAAAAAAACCACAAGTAAATAAGTTACTCAAAACACAACACAGAGAAAAGTATTATTAGTGTTACACAGAAATACGGCAAATCAACAGATCCATCATCTGCCAAGCCTTTTTGGTGTATACACATTCAATGCCCATTCCTTGTCTCCCTCACATTTATGTTATTCACTGCAATTTGAATACCATACTGATCATAACTCATTGAAAATAAAAAAAATAATCTATCCTGGATGACTCAGATATTCACCTGCCTGAAGACAGAGGGCTGGACTAGGCAATCTTTCCAGATACCTTTCCTAGTGACATAAATTAATGGAGCTTTCCAAAATGTCTAAATTATCATCAGAAAGTAGACTTCATTTTGACAGAATTTAGGCTCAACCTGAATTAATTCAATTCAACAATGCATTAGCTGATATGAAACAGAAGCAGGGACACTACTCCTTGGACTTACAATCTGATATGGATACACACGCAGCACAGAGATGCAGCCATGCGAAGAATAAACTTCCATGGACACATCTGTGATATGAAAAGCGATAAGTGGCGGTGACAGAAAATGAACAAGGCAGCCTGTCTTCCCATGATTTTATGAAAGTATTTTCTTAGTCGTTTCACATACTACTGCTGTCATTTTCTTGATAAGAATTCATAATGACTTTTAATTGTTGACCTTTCCAAATTCTGACATTAAACTGACATTGATTGCAAACATGAAACAGTGAGATTCTGCTTAGCTTGGAAGGACAACAAAAAGTTAATTTTCTCTCTAGAGCAATTAATTGAAGGACCGTTTTGTTAGCCAGAAGGATGATAAAGGACTTGGTCAAACAAATTAATGAGGAGTGCTCGGTAATACTAAGCAAGGACTTGGTAGTGTAGCAAATAGGGCTTGGACTCTTCAGAACTGTCTCAAAGGCAGACACTTTCAAGGAAGAAAATTAAGTCATGTAGGGGGTGGGGAGATAGAAGAAAAGAATCATGGAATGATGGGCTGAAAAGAGTAAGAGTTGAAGTTCTATAGGAATACTACTCACATACATTTTACATGCAGGTATGTATGGAACATAAAGAGAAAAACACAAGTCATCAGTTGGAATTTTGAAAATACTTCACTGAATTTGGGGTCAACTTAAAAGTCAATTTTTGAAGGTTATAGGTTTTGAGGACTTTTGGTGGTAAAAATTTTGCAGACTGCAAAGACTGACCTATGTTCTATGTAGCTCTGGTAGGGCTATTATTAGAGACTAGAGCCACTTACTTGATCATTCTTCTTCATAAGAGGACTAGGGGGAGGCATTACAGACAGCCATCTAGAGTCCAACACACATTGATGCACAATGGGCACTTTCTAAAATTATGATTAAGGCCTGTCATGATCTAAATTCTTAAGATGGAGAAGACAGAACCCCGAGGGCTGGAGCAGACAAACTATTTCTTCTTGTAGCCTCTGATGATCTATTAGGGACTTCTGTTTATTCTGGCAACTGTTCATATAACTCACTGACTTCTCCAGTAAACTAACTACACCACAAAGAAAAGATTACCCGGAGCAAAGCTAATAATGATGATAATAATAATAATAATCATAGTAAAAAAATAATAATAACTTACATTTGTATAGTGCTTTATGGTGGGCAAAGTGCTTTACAAATATTACCTCATTTTATCTTCACAACAACCCTGGGAGTTAGGCCTTATTAGGCAGCTGGATAGTGCAGTGATTAGAGTGCTAGATTTGGAGTCATGAAAAATACCTGCTAGCTGTGCCACTCTGGGCAAGTCTCTCAATCTCTCAGCCTCAGTTTCCTTATCTGCAAAATGGAAATAATAATAGCAACTGCCTCTCAGGGTTATTGTAAGTATAAAATGAGATAATTATTAAAGTGCTACAGAAATACTATTATTATTATCATCTCTATTTTATGGATGGGGGAAATCGACACTGACAGAGGTTAAGTGACTTGCCCAGGGTCATACAGCTAGTGATAGTCTAAGGCAAGACTTGAACTTGGGTTTTCCTAATTCTAGGTCTAGGGATCTGTCTGTTTCAACACCTTTAGAACTAGACTCTAGTGTCAATGTCATATGGTCATTTCTTTTGGAACTCAGATGAAAAACACAGGATTAGCATCATAGGAAATTCCATGGAGTCAGAAGCCAGAAAGAAAACTAATCATCAAAAGTTAAACAGGCAGCACAAGTTGCCACAACACTAGAACTGTCCTAAGTGTCTTCACAGATGTGCAGAGTTGGAAGGGCCTTCAGTGCTCTAGTCCCCTGTACAACATGGCCCGTGATTGGTCACTGAGTCTTTGTTGAGAATCTTAAAGCAGAGAAGTGGGGCCAAGCTGCTCCCTTCTCGGAAGAGTGAAACCTATTTCAATCTTAAAGCCACCATTTAATTAAGTTAATGACTCACTACTTTGGATAAAATGTGAATTCATTAACATTAACATCTTAATCACCTGATACTTTGATCACCTGTGCCACTTGTTTAATGTTTGGAGGGCAAGGAGCATTCTATGTCTTGGCAAGGAGAATTCCATATCACTGTGCCCAGGAGTACCATGGTTATAATTTTAGTTGCCGAGCTAGAGTAGTGATTGATATTCTGCTCGTGTCATGACCCTCTGATCCCCTGCCAATGTTTTCCATAGTTACCCAAAGACAGACTAGTTCCATTTTTGTACTTTTACAGGATTCTTTTTCTTTTCATTAATCCATGGCAAATTTCTTGTCAAGTGTTTGTGGCGAATGAGGAATTAAGCAGAATGGCAAGCATGACAGAAAGAGAAATGAGAAGATGCTAAAGAGTAACACTGTTAGTTGCTGTAAGGCAGAGGTGTCACACTCATGGCCCAGGGGCTACATGTGGGCCACACAATCCTGAAAGCATCCCAAACCACATGAAAGTGTAAATGGGAAACAGCTAACAAAATAAATAAAAATACAATGAAATACAGATTTTAAAACTAAACTTATTCTTGTCCTTTAGGGATCCTAACATATAGATTAGTGGCTTCTACTTAAGTTTGACATCACTGCTATTAGACATAGAGCACACATAATGTAAATCAGCAGGTGACCTATTGAAGGGTGGCAGACCCAACTAGACCCCTCTCTTTTCTCCTTGCATCTGTCTTTGGGCGCTTCTAGTCAAGAAGGGCCCCTCCCAGATCACTGCTTTGTTGTGCATGGGCTCACATAACTCAAAAAAACCTATATGCTATGCCATGTATGGTTACCCAAGATGGAGAGGTCATAGCGGACAGTTCTAACAAAAGGTGATGCATTGGAGAAGGAAATGGCAAACCACTCCAATATCTTTGCCAACAAAACCCCAGGGACAGTATCGGGACTGGCTGTAGTCCATGGGGTCATGAAGAGTGGAACATGACTAAACAACAAGAAGAAATCAAGAAGGGGTATGGTAGGAAATGGAGCCCTCGTGAACTGAAGAAAGTAGTTGGATAGTAGAGGCTATTGTAAGGATTTCGTTCTTACCTAAAATACTCATAAATGCCCCTTCTAGCCACAGCCTTTCCCAGAGGGTAAGTGAAGGCCTTGACTTCATCCCTAATAGACTACTCCACAGTTCACCCTAAAACTTCAGGTAAATAAAAGAGAGCCCCCCAACAGAACAGGACTGCTCTAAATAAAATGGGGACTCTGACCCTACCCTTGATCCCAACAGGTGAGAGCTCTGACCTGCTCCTTCCTTTCCCCATCTAGAATGTTTTTTTCATTTGGTCTAATCCAATAGTAAATGAATGCCACCAAAGATATTTCTTGCCTCATTTCACCCAACAATAAACGAGCATCATGACCTGAGCAGCCCTGCAAGCCTTTGTACCTTAGGGCTCTTCTTCACTCACCTCTGCTACTCTCTCCAGGAGGGGCTCCAGCCAGTGCTCATTGCATTCACAATGACTGTCCAAGAACGTCAGGACTTTGGCCTGTGCTGCATCTGCCCCTCGGACCCGAGAGCGCATCAAGCCTGTGGGGGAGAGTTCAGAAACTTGTCAGGGGAGGGAATCTATACTCTCTGTGAAAAACCACAAAAATAACGTACGCTAGCAGACGCCATCCATACATTTCCCCAACAAAACCTTTACAGCCCACTTGCAGGGCTAGAGGTTTCACACTCTGTGTCGGGCTGAAAGGATCAATGCCACCCTGTGGTCATCAAGACACTTTTTTGTAGCATTTTTTTTTAAGGTAAAGAACCCACAGAGAAAACAACTGTCTTCTGAGAAAGGCTGGCACATAATTAAAGGCAGATGGATACATCAACAGAAACAATAATTTTAAAAAACCTTTCTTGCAAAGAGCAGAGAGGGTTTGCTCATTAACTGGGCTCAGAGACTTGTTATCTATACTCTTGAAGTGTCAATAACTGCTGATCTTTCATAGTGCTAATTTAGTGATAGATATTGCAAATTTTTCTGTTCTTCTAAGATTTTACATACATCAGCTTATACATATGTATCATATGACATGTATATACATGATATGATATATGTATGTAGGTATATGTATTCACACATTAAAATTCAGTTATAAGGCCCCTTTGTCATAACAGAAAATCAATTATGTTATGGGTCAAAACATGCAACCGCAGACTGCAATGGAGAGCAGAAGTGTCAGACACATGAAGCCCACAATGCTGAAGACTAAGGCAGGAACCCAATTAAAATGTAATTGGAAAATATTTACCAAAATAAACAAAAATACAATAAAACATGGATAGCACTATATTACACTTTAAAACTAAGTCAATAGGCAGCCCTTGGGGATCCTTATGTATGGATTAGTGGCTCCTGTTTCTATTTGAGTTTGACACCACTGTTAACAGAGCATTTCTCTCTATTACAATCATTTCCTTCACAACAATTATAATTGTTCCCTGACCCCACAGTCACAATGGATTTTTACTGTACATACTGTCCTTCGAATATAAAAATAGTGCTACTGATTCACTGTCAGAAAGGGTAGGACATATTTTAAGGGTTGTTTCCCCCCCCAAGAGGGGAAGATGTGTTTTCTTTGATGCTCAGTCGGCCTACCTTGTGAATAAGGTGTACCTTGGTAAGTGATATAGTCTTTGGTCACGAAACAAAGGGAAGGTGGTTGGCTCCACCTGAGGGTCAAGTTCATGACCTTCGTCTCAGTAACGCCAAACTCAAACCCACTGACTTACCCGGTCACACACAAAAATGCTGAGTTTTTTCTATGTATTTTATAGGTCTTAAGCAGAATCTGATTCTCTTCGTGTTGACAGGGGCTCTCCCCATTTGAATTATGCCAACTCACCAAACTGTGAACAAATTTACACATTAAGACAGGGGTTCTTAACCTGGCATCCGTGAATTTGTTCTTTAAATAATGTGGCAACTATATTCCAATATAATTGGTTTTCTCTGCAATCCCTACGTGCTTTAGTTTATTCCTTTAAAAGCATTATTCTAAGAAGAAGACCATAAGGTCCACTGTCACAGAGGTCTAGGACACTAAAAATGTTAAGAATCCCTGCCTTAAAAGCAATCTTTTAATTTCTAAATATTTTACGCCAATAGCACTCGCTGAAAAGAATGGCTATTAATTTTGTTACTAATATTAAATTATCAGTGCTTAAAAATAACAGTTGTTACCACTTTACCCTCATATAGTGGACAGTAGTAAGATACGAAAATATGTCTCAGTTTTAATAGATAATAAAAAAATATAAAGTAAGGTATCTTTCATCTAGGTTGTTTAAACATGAAAATGCTTATCGTCATAACATTCTGATTTATCTGAAGCTTCAGAAGTTTTCAAAGAGGAAGGACCAGATTTGAGGCACTGACCATAATGTATACTTTTCAAACCAACAGGATTTATTAGGATGTAGAATTAACGAAGGCCATGAAACAGATTCATTCCATTTATAGACTAGTTCAGTGTCACACGGTATGGGAAAAAAAATTTCTTCCCTGGCCATAGCTTTGACCTCTAATCCCAACTGGTTATCTTGCAAATGGGTACTATCGCCCCAGGGGGAAACAGAGGACAGACCATATACAGAATGAATCAAGGCAAACTCATCACGACCCCAGGGGAAAAAAAAATCTCAGCTCTGTCATCTTTGTATTGAACAGTCTTCCATCAAAAAAACAAAACAAAAACAAACAAACAACAACAAAAAAACTCGATAGCTAAAAAATTTCCCCAAACTGTGAATGAACAAGGTATCCAATCACCAAGCTCCCAGGCAGCTCTGAGAAACAAGCCGCTGACTAGATGTTAATTGCACAGTATTTTAAGCTTCTTCTTTGGATGTTTTCGTGTTTTACTCCTGCCTTTGGAAAAATCTTGCTTATGGCTGTCAATAAAGAATGTTTAATGATCCTAACTACCACACAGGGAAGAATGACAGCAGCTCATAAGGCAGGAGTTTGTAAAACTGAAAAAGCAAGCAAATGGAAATGTACTTTTCTTTCTTCAGATGGGTCACTTTCATCTAGCTGTCAAACTCAGACGCCATTTATAAATGAAAGTCAGATGCTTGGAGCAAGAAGACATTAGATTTGCCATGTCTAAATCTTGTGCGTTTTCACATAAATTCTAATACCTGAGGGACTGCTGACTAATCAAGGCTTCATAGATGATGAGGGGACAATTTTCCAAAGGAGAAAAGGGAAAATCCAAATAGAATTGTTGTCATAATTAAGAGTGAGGTTTTCAGTGCCATACCAATCAAACTACCAAAAAGTTATTTTATAGAGCTAGAAAAAAAATCAATAACAAAATTCATCTGGAAAAACAAATGGTCCAGAATATCAACAGAACAAATGAAAAGAAATGAAAAGGAAGGTGGTGTACCTGTACCAGATCTTAAACTGCATTATAAAGCAATCATCAAAACCACTTGGTACTGGCTAAGAAATAGAGTGGTGGATCAGTGGAATAGGCTACGTGTGCAAGACACAACAGTCAATGACTATAGTAATCTATTATTTGATAAATCCAAAGACTCCAGCTTCTGGGATAAGAACTCACTATTTGACAAAAACTGCTGGGAAAACTGAAAAACAGTATGGTAGAAACCAGGCATAGACCAACATCTTATACCCTATACCAAGATAAAGTCAAAATGGATACATGATTTAGATATAAAGCCTGATACTATAAGCAAACTAGGAGAGCAAGGAATAGTTTACCTATCAGATCTGTGGAGAAGAGAAGAATTTATGACCAAATAAGAGATTACATTAAATTAAAAAGTTTTTGCATAAACAAAGCCAATGCAACCAAGATTAGAAGGGAAACAGAAAGCTGGGAAATGATTTTTACAGCCAGTGTCTTTGATAAAGGTTTCATTTCTAAAATACGTAAAGAACTGAGTCGAATTTATAAGAATATAAGTCATTCCCCAATTGATAAATGGTCAAAGGATATAAATAGGCAGTTTTCAGAGAAAGAAATTAAAGCTCTCCATAGCCATATGAAAAAAATGCTCTAAATCACTATTGATTAGAGAAATCAAAATCAAAACAACTCTGAGGTACCACATCACACCTGTCAGATTGACTAATATGAAAAAACAGGAAAATGATAAATGTTGGAGAAGATGTGGGCAAATTGGAACACTAATGCATTGTTGGTGGAGCTATGAACTGATCCAGCCATTTTGGAGTGCAATTTGGAACTATGCCCAAAGGGCTATAAAATTGTGCATACCCTTTGACCCAACAATACCTCTTCTAGGTCTGTATTCCAAAGAGATCATAAAAACAGGAAAAGGACCCATATGTACAAAAATATTTATAGCAGTTCTTTCTATGGAGGCAAAGAATTGGAAATTGAGAAGATGCCCATCAACTGAGGAATGGCTGAACAAGTTGTGGTATACGAATGTAATGGAATAGTATTGTGCTATAAGAAATGATGAGCAGGTAGACTGCAAAAAAGCCTGGAAAGACTTATATGAACTGATGCTGAGTAAAATGAGCAGAACCAGGAGAACATTGTACATAGTAATGGCCACACTGAGCGATGACTGACTTTGATAGACTTGTATCTTCTTAGCAATGCAAGGATCTAAGACATCTCCAAAAGACTCATGATGGAAAATGCCATCCACAACCAGAGAAAGGACTATGGAGTCTGAATACAGATGGAATCTACTATTTGCTGTCCTTTCCTTTGTTATTTTGGTGGGGTTTTTTTTTTGCTTCATTCTCATGTTTGCTCCCATTAGTTCTAATTGTTCTTTACATCATGACTAATGGGAAAATATGTTTAATATGAATGTATAAGTAGAGCCTATATCAGATTACATGCTGTCTTGGAAAGGGGGAGGAAATTTAAAACTCAAAATCTTATAGAAGTGAAGTGGAAAACTAAAAATAAATAAATTATCTTTAAAAAAAAAAGAGTGAGGTTTTAATATGCAATGGATTAAGTTTTTCATGTATTTACCTGATTTGAAAACAGTTTTGGGTGCTATATACAGACCAGACACAGGAAGCCAAGATGTGGTCAATTTTTTTCTTAAGCTAAAATATGTTGAGTTCAACGATAACTAAAAATACAGACACAATTACACTTTGTTGGCAAAACAAAGCCTTGTTAAAATGATGAGACTGTTTAGAAAAATAAGTTAATAAACAATCTACCTTCTCGCCGATCATTTCTAAGAACCCGCACTTTCTCAATCTTCCCCAAGAGAGCACCATCCTCAGCTGAAAAAAAGGAAAAAAAAAACCCAGGAGATTCTGAAACTGAGCTTTATAAAGATGTGTTTTATTACAAGTATAATCAACTCTTGATTATCTAAGGGCTATTGAACAGTCTCTACATCATACAGTCACATCACCTGACCCACTACCCTCCCTTTTGACTATTTCACTATTCATTATACAGCAAGGGGAAAAAAAAATAGTCATGGTACTTACGATCATTACTGTAGTCATCTACCAATATGATTTCTTTTATAAGATGGGGGGGACTTTTCTTAAGCACACTGAAGAGGGAAGAAAAAATATTACATGGTCTTCCATGGGTATGGAATTGATTGGTTCTGAACTGACCCTTCCATCCCCAATCCCAACCAAAACATTTCCTTTTGAAAGCATCAAGCAGGACAATGGATTGGACTGCCTCACCTGACTACGGTCCTCAGCAAGGCCGACCTGGCTTCATTGTGGAAAGTGATCACCACGCTGGTGGCTGGTAAGTCTACCCGCCACTGCTTTCGCTGACACCTGAAAATAAAGAGAGGCAATAATCATCAATACACCGTGAGATATTAATAATCTCCTAAAGGTAGGAAGATGTTCATCCAGCTAAGAAGGATGACTACTACTGGATTTTACACTTACAAACTTCTTTATAAACCTTTTCCAAAGTAGAAGAGGAAAACAAATATCTGTTGACAAAGTTGGACTTCCTTCTGTTTTGAGGTATTAATGCACTACAAACATCACATATGGTATTTGGCTCTAAATGAAGACACCAGACACACCACAGATCACAATTTCTACTCTGGCCAACTAAGATGTAGATCTTCCTTTACTCCCATCAGGCCATGACCAGATTCCTAGGTATATAGGCTAAATCTAGGGGGGAAAAGTGAAGGTGAATAACCAATAGAAATTTGACATTCTAATCAATATTGCTAGAAGCAATGGAGTTACTTTCAACCCAAATCTCTAAACAGAACTTAGCCTAAAGAACAAGCCTACCAGGTGAGGATGCAGAATTCTGCTGGGACCAGGCAATTAAGAAATCAAGTCTCAATAAACATGGAAATGTTTGTTGTATCATTAATATCGTCATCCATAGGAAAATAGTAAGAGTAAGAGAATGTGGGTTTGGTGTGCAATAGTTTGGAGAAATAATACATTGTTGGTGTGTTTTTAGTTTTAAAAAAGTCCTGAGATTTACCTTCTTTTGTAGACATGCTGTCATATCCCACTGTAGCAAGGATGTGAGGGCTGGTTTGTCAAAATCTTTGCCAGAATGGCACAAGTGTGCCCTCCCAATTAGCAAGGCTTCACGTACTGGCTGGCAATGGAGTATATTTCTATTACCCAAGTACCAACTTACCTAAATTCAGAAACGGTCCATCACCAAAAAGTTACCTACAGGGCGATGAATTTCTATCAGTCTCAAAAACCCATAAATACTAAGGCAAGGAAGACTTGCGATTTGCATCAGAGAAAAGAGTACCTATTCTGATGAGAAATCAGGGATTTGTTGGAGTACTTGAAATTCATCAATACAAGATGTCACATAGTAAGAAAAGATCAAATCGTCTTACCAGCCTCAAGTACAATCTCCTTGAATCATCTAAGTCAATTGTCCTAAGTGGGTTTTGTAGACCATGGATGGTGCTTAATGGATTTCTTAGGTGCAAAGATAAGATCAGATGCTGTCTGGGTGATGGTCCCAGTCAGTCTAAGGAAAAGAGGATGGAGAAGCGGAGGGAGGGAATTGCTTTTAGTGATAAGTCTTTTACAGGAAAGAAACGCGCAGGCTGTATTAGGCAGAATCAATGGTGGCAATGCTACCACTCTCCACTGCAACATGGGAAGAGGAGCACACAGATGAATCCCACATGAGTGGATGAGTTAAATGATCCCAGGAAAGATTCCTGGGAATCTTTTACCCTAGTGAATTAATTTTCCAGCTGAGTCATTTGAAAACCACTGATTAATGTGAGAAGAGGGGGACAGCCTGTTGCAGGTTACCAACAGTTATTCACCTTTTTTATAGTTTGCTGTCATTCAGTGTGAACACTTCTGCCAGCATTTACAAGGGGTTTGTAGCAACTCAAAGTACTGAAGAAGAAAAAAAAATCTTCCACGAGACCAAAAATTTACAAAGGGTCCTTTCCTTCTCCAGTTTTTAATCACATGCAGTTCACTACCTTCCCTTTCCCTACCAATCCCAAATATCTGGCCCATAATTTGAAGATATTACAATTATGATAACTACGATTTTAAAAAATGGGAGTTGGTGGGGGACAAAAAGATGGTAAAAGGAATAAGAATTATCTTTTTAAATCAGACAAGACCAAGAAATATTTAATCAACAAAGAATAAAAGTGGTCATTCTAAACAGGTGCCTGGACAATATCCAGCAAATTTCTATGCGTGGGGGCACTGTAAAGGAAAATGTATAGCAGACCCCTGCTAATGTGCACTAATAACTGGGAGATCTCCTTCAGATGAGCAAATTTTGTAAATTAGCAAGCAAAGCAGCACAATTAAAAAGCAATAATGCCAGGATCATGGAATGGGTTTCCTCTGTTTATTTAGTTGTGTGGGTAGCTTGCTTTTAATTAATCGTGAAAAGGCAGCATAATGTACCACCAGTCACTCTTGGTTAAAAAAAGGAATCTGAGTTGAATACTGTACCACATTATAGCTTCTGGCCACTAAATCTTTACTGGAAAGCAAATGCACAGGCTAGCTTTCTTGGTGAGAATCAGCAAACTGGTAGATTAAGTAAGCAAAAATCTGCAAGGTTCAACTGTAAACCAATTAACCAAAGAAAAGTCATCTAAAAGGAGCCAATCTATGATATTAATAGGATAAGAACTTCGTATTATGAGGGGGCTGGAATATCCAGTGCAATTAGGCCCCACTTAGCACAGCGGGAAGTGGTAAGATGAGTGGGCCCTAAACAGAATGATTTACAAAATGTGGGCTCAGACATCTGCATTGGAATTAAAACAAAGAGAGGAGAATTTCTCATGCCAAGAGCATACAAAGTTGACCCAATCAACCTCATATTCTTTCATTCTCATTCTCTCCCTGCAGGGATCACAGCTTCAGTGAGTAACTGAAAGTCAGGAGGCACTAACTCCATCTGCACTGTTCAGAAGACATAGAGCTTGCATTACCACTTTGTATTCTTTAGAGTGAGTGTGTGAGTGTGAGTGTGTGTGTGAATTATTACAATACCTAGGGGAAACACTCTTCAGTGTGTTGGATAGATCTTTTAGGGAGGATTTGTGGGAAGACTTCCCTATGGACAAGAGACATAGACGAGCTTCTATTTGCACCACTGTAGAGAGTACTTATTTTGATGAAATCATGCATCCAAAGCATCACAGGTTTAGAGATGGAAGGTACCTTACAGGTCATCTAGTCCTCATTTTACAAGGAAAGAACTGGGGTCCAGAGAGATTAAATGATTTGCCCAGGATCACATAGTGGTTTGCAAGGACAGGATTTGAACCCCTGTCTCCTGTCTTCAAATCCAGTACTCCTTCCACTGCTTATGCTGCCTCCAAAGTATTGAATCACATGTATGTAAGCACACATGTACGAAACACATATATGTCTCCTCTTCGATATCTGCCACTTGGGTATACAATTGTGAACTCAGTTTTGCTAGGTACTGTCAGATGTAAATTATAATAGTCATTTCATTTAAATGGGAGAGAGAAAAGGATGGGGAAGAAGGCCATTCATGTCATAACAATTAAGTTAACTAGACATTAATTTTTAAAAATCATTTTGGCTAATAGAGCATACATGCACACACATACACACATATGCAGTAAGCTTTAATATCCAGCCAAAAATGTCATTGGCTGTGGAAAACTTCTTTATGATGATAAAAAGAGGCTGAAGAATGAGCACATTTATCAGTTAAACAGAGGTATCCCTGACAACCAGTCTTCATCATTCTGTAGCTAGAAAAAGAATGTCTAATAGGAGGGGCAACAATGAATCCTGATAATTTGACAGAAGCCAGAGTCTAGCTCATATCCACTTTTATACCTGAGCCTTCTCTAATGGTAACTGGTGGTTATTAGAAGTCAGCAGAAGCAAAAGCCTATAATCAGTTCTGCTCTCTGGTGCCAAAGGAAGAAGAATGATTGGCCTAATTCAGTGTTTAGGGACTGCTTGTCAATGATATCCGAGTGATATTTAACAGAGCCATACCTAGGAATTCTGGTGCCTAGGGAAAACTCAGTTTGGAAGAGAAGGAAGAAGTGGCAGACATAGAAAGAGATATCAGATATGGGATACTAGGCCCTATGGAGGATCTGATCTTGGGATGGTGGCCTGACTCTAGGTGAGGGAAAAGGGGCACTTGTTAAGTGTAGAATTTGTACTAAAGAAGAAATCTCCCCTTCCTACCATGTTTGAGCTCTGGTGCATATCCCTGGTATCTCCATTCTAGTTGTGATCAAAAGGGGAAAGTACTCAGAGTCCTGGTAAAACCAGTACCTACTTACTAGACAATATCAATTACGCTTATTTTTAACACTTCAACGTCTAGATCATTCTCATAAATAAATGATATGAAAAGAAAATTTATAATCATGGAATATGGGCAACTTCACATTTGAGCAATTCAGCACAATTTAATAAACATTCCATATGTACTTACTACAGACAAGACACTGGGCTAAGAACTAAGGATACAAAGTCTACTATCAAGGAATTTTTAAATGAGGGGTGGAGGTGGGGGAGTAGAGAAGAGACATCCACATGAACAATCATGAAAAAAGAAAGTGTTAGGAGAACTTTAAAGAGTGAGGATGTCGGGGCAGCTAGGTGGCTCAGTGGATAGAACACTGGCCCTGAAGTCAGGAGTACCTGAGTTCGAATGTGACCCCAGACCAAATACTTGACACTAGCTGTGTGACTCTGGGCAAGTCACTTAACCCCAACTGCCTGAAAAAAAAAGTGAAGGTGTCATGATTTTCATTAGGTCCTAGGGTGGGGAAGGTTTCATGGAAAAGGGACCACCTGAGTTAGCCCATGAGAAAAGGGTGGCATTTCAACAAGTGGAGCGTCCCAGAAATCGGAACAGAGTCTCAAGGACACAGCAGAGCAGGCAGTTAGGCTGGAACGTAGAATACATAAACAGTTGTAATGTGAGATGTCTGGAAATTTAGGCTAGACCCAGATTGTGAAAGGTTGTGAACACCAGGATCAGGAGTACATCCCTTTATCTGAAAGCCAATGGCAAGCCACTTAAGTCTTCTGAAAGGCTAAATGACATGATTTTATATCTGCATGTCAGGCATTTAATACATTTTAATTTGAATTGAATTGAATATAAACAGAACAGTGTGTTAAAATGATTATACAAATAGCAATGTGGAGGATGGATTGAGTAAGAAATAGGAATACCAGTTAGAAGGCTATTACAATGGTTAAGGAGTCTTAACCTGGCGTCCATTAACTTGGTTTTTTAAAAAATATTTTTATAACGATATTTTCAATATAACTGGATT